GAAAACAGCACAATGGAAAGAATTGTGTAATTCTTTAAACTAAAGCATGAAGATTGTCTTTTTTTTTTTTTTTCCTCTTATAAAACTTTCAGTAACGCATTCTGGTTTGCCTTGTGGTTTCCAGAGAAATGCAATGATGCAATGGACCTCCCATACCCCGAGTCTGACCAAATTCACTGCTTTAATTCTTACTCTGGTGTGTTTGGCAGGTTGGGGGTCGATGACCATTTTCCTGAACCCTATTAAAGCGGCAGTGGAGGGGCGCCTGGGTGGCTCAGTTGATTAAGCGTCTGGCTTTTGATTTTGGCTCAGGTCAAGATCTCACAGTTCATCAGTTCGAGCCCAGCATCGGGCTCTGAGCTGACATGGGGCCTGCTTGGGATTCTTTGTCTCTCCCTCCCTCTCTGCCCCTCCCCTGCTTGCACACTTTCTCTCTCTCAAAATAAATAAAAGACATTAAAAAAAAAATGGCAGGGGAGCCCCATAAATCAGCTTGGACCAAGAGTTAGGAGAAGCCGGGCCACTTTTAAGAAAGGAGAACAAATACAGAGAGCCTGGCTTTGGGGCTGCCAAGTGCCGGGCAGTGCCAGTGCGGTGAAGACTGGCTACGTGGAAAAAATTTCCTCGGACGCTTAATAGCCTTCAGTTGGTGGCACCGATCTCAGTCTGTGACGTGCACAGACAGTCGAATGTCCCTGCCATCCTGAATTGACATCACTGCCATGAACTTAAAGGCGTTAAGCAGGTGACCCCTCCAGGAACACCTGCAGGGGAGGACGGGGTCAGGCCACCCTGCCTGTTGGAAGTGGCCGGCAGGAGGTGAAGTGTGCTTGCTACACCCGAGGCCAAAGACGCACAAGGCCAGGCGGCCCTCACCCCGAGCCCAGATGTTTCCACTTGAACCTGGGATGATCTCCGCTGAGCCCCTCAAGAGGCTGGGAGCTGGAGGCTGCAGGAGCCTGCTTTGCGGGCGGTAAAGGTCCATGCCGTAGGTTGTGGGCCATGAGCACTGGGCATGTTTTCCTAGTGGGACCCGAGCTTTGAAAGGTCACACGGGGAAGAGGCACTTTGAAGGTGGCTGGCTTTCCCTGCTTCCCCGGAAGCGCCCCACGCAGGGCCAGGCTAGTGGCCCAGTCGGTCTTGAGAGCACCGGACTTGGTTGAAACCGTGCACCCCCTATTTAAACACAAGTTCGTAAGACATTGCAAAGACAGGTGTGGCCACTGGGTCAACACAAGGAAACCATCATGTATCCAGTGGCTAAGTATCAAATGTGCTTGGTGCCACTGTGGTTTGAAGAAGGGAGCAAGAGGCAGGGAAGGCCCAGAGTCAGCACAGGGACACAGGTGCACCTGCCAGGGGTGAGCCCTTGGAAAGTCACGGCCCAGCTAGGTTTGCTCGGAGGCACCTCCTCCCACCCTCGTCTGACAGGCTTAGGCAGCCAGCAGGCTCAGGCGGAGGGGAGGGCCTCGGTGGGGCAGGTCAATGCAGGCAGTGACCTTTGTCATGTCTCCTAGACCCGGGTTATGCTCAAACTCTGTCCCGCTAAACGGGGCAGCAACTTCTGCACACGTGTATCTCCGAGGCTCCCTTTAAACAACAAGAGTGCCTTCAGAAAGCTATAACCTTCCATCTCTCTGTGCGCAGTCAAGCAAAGAAAGGTGAGCCTGACTCCAGATGCTTCAGAAGGACCCCACGCGTTTTATGCACCTTAATTTTAACAGTGCCTTTTGATGTAGCTCATTGAGGTAGCTGCTACGCCGTGGATTTGGGGAAACAGTGGCGGCTGAATGGACAGTTTACTTCTCATCAGACGTTAAACCAAGGATTGTACTTGTGCCTCGAGCTTCTGCTCAGATCGTGGGGTGCTGCCCGGTCTCGGGGACCGCCACACGGCCCTTGAGGCCTGCTCGTTTCCTTAGAGTTCTGGACGGCCCAGAGTAAGAAATGCATCCAAAACCCGGAAAGAAACGTTCTTGCTTTGAAAACGAAAAGAATCCCTTGACCACAGGGACAGCTCTTGCGGGCATTCTGGAACGCCCTGGGCACCACGTTTCTTCTCCTGGACTTCACGTTCTTACTCGTGTAGACGTATACGTACTCTTTAGGAAGATGCTCTCAATGCGTCTCGTCCAAGAGTCTGCGGAAGGCTGCAGGGAAACTCGAGCAAGGCGGGAAGGACGGAGCAGCTCTCTGGCACTCCGGCGATTCCCCCGCGTGCTGATGCAGTGGCCAGCACCCTGGTTTTGATGATGCTGGGCCTCGCCGAAGCGGCCGCGGGCGCGTGCAGCCCTCAGGGTGGCAGGGGCAGAATTCAGCGCGTGGGACGCCCGGCCGGACCTGCCGAGGAGGCAGAAGAGGAGGGACGCTGGGGGAATCGGGTGGAGAGGTCCGGCTGGCTCCCGGGCTCAGGGTTCATCCTTGTCAGCCCTGCAAAGGCCGTTCGTAATCCTGTGGTCTCCCGGGCGTTTGGCATTTGTGGCTTGGTGAAGAGGGGAGCCGCCCCGTGGGCCAGTCCACCAGGAGAGGAAGGGCTCCGGGCTCTGGCTTGAGGCTTCTTGAACCTGTTGTGTCCCATCTACTGAACTTCACGCTGACGTCAACTGAAACCCAGCAGGCACTGCATGCAGTTTAAAGAGCCCCTACTGGAAATGCTACAGTATTTTGAACTGGTGAACAGTTTTGTCCATCTGACTGTCAGTGGTCTGAGAAACTTTTCAATAGGTGACCCAAAATATTGAGTGGCGATTAGTGACTATTATTTAAAACGAATGTGTGATAAACGTGAACGAGTTCAAGTGGCTTTCGAGCTGAGGTCTCCGCGGCCTCCTCTGTGGCTTCACCGGGAACGTGGCTGGGAGTCTAGCTGGGCCCCGAGAGTGCCAAATGCTCGCCAACGCTAGGAACGCGGGACCTGTGGCTTTGTCAGCCTGTCGCCACAGGATGCATGAAATAAGGAGTTTTCAAAAATAAGTTTCACGAAAATAGAGGCGGTGTGAGCGACTCTTCTGAAAGCCTGGGTCTCGAGGCTCACTTCCCGAGGCCACGTCTGTGAACAGCGTCTATCTGGGGCACCTCAGGAGAGAGGCCAGTGGTCAACAGAGGCAGCAGGGACCTGGCATCGGAATGTAGCCTCTGTCCCTGAACCTGTGGACAAGCCACGGCCCTTCGGCCCCACAGATCCAGGGAGCCCCGTCCTAGGGCAGGACGCGGACGCGCCTCTGACTCAAAGCTGAGCTCCCTTCCGATTTCGGATGACCTCTTGACTGGTGTCATCCACATGTGGAAATACTTTTACTTCCAACAGATCCTTTAATTGGATCTTGCCACAAAGTGACAAGTGAAAAGTACCACTCACGTTTAATTCTGAAAAGGACGTGCCCGTTGTGGCGTTTGCCTTTTCCAGCTGAAACCTCAGCTGCCCTCTCTGTGGCTGCACTCCCGGGGTGCCGATCTTGGGAACTTGATCAATTTCAATCCTGATCATTCTTCCAACAGCAAATAGCATCGACCCGCTAGAGCCACATTTTCTAAAGACAGAGGGGGAGGGGCGCTGAGGGCACAACCAGGTCCTAAGTGCTGCTGGGAGGAGAGGTGGCCGGTGTCCCCGCCCCCCACCGGAAGCCTCAGCCCTGGCAGGCTCAGCCGGGCCTGGCTTGGAGGGCGGGGACTGCCGCACACCCTCCCATGGGACGCTCACCTTCCATGGTGGACAGAAAGAGAGAGTGTTTCCGGGTCCATATGTTCTAGACAAAAACCACGATCAACACTGCTTTCCTAACCAGACCGAGGTTGAGAAATGACCTTTAAGGCTGAAATAAGTATTTTAGGTGTTGGGAAAGCTACCACACGAAGGACTCTGTGCCTGCCCCCCTCACTCTCCAG